GGGAGATAGTGTTCTCCCAGACGCCTGCCTCTGTGCTCAAGAGGCGGAGCTCACTCAGAAATACCCATTGAAATCATTTTTTGCTGAAGGTTCTCGATCTCGTCCGCAGCGTCGACCTCGGTGGCGCCCCGAGAGCCTTTGATCATCACGTTGGCGGGAAGAAAATGCGATGCTGATGGAATAATGCTCAAAGTAATGGCCTTCTTCGCTATAATCAAGGTGTATTAGGGGTAGAGGCTATTATATAATAGTTTTCTCCACAGTAACATTAATGATGATGATTTATTTTTATGAAAGAAAATATTCCTTATGAAAATAAGTCCCAGAAATGGTTTATCGCCGATCTAACATTACAGAATTTCATGTTTATCGACATCTACCTAATAATAACAAATGCATAATAATAACAATAAAAATGATTATGATAATCCTTAAAACAGTGATGACAATAACCATAAATAAACAAGAAAACAAATAGAAAATAACAGGCAAAATTGGTTAAACATTTAGTCACATACATATCGATTCTACATTTATAATAAGTTAACTACGATCCACAGGGGAATTCTATATGCATTTATACTAATAGATACATTAAGAAGGGCACTAAGTGGTCTACATAAGTGTAAATACACTAACTGGCAAATAGACTGATAGATTAATAAAGTAATAGACATCTAGATATGTGAATATATATACACGTACATTTATAGTAGAAAAAATACAATGAACAAAACTATTATTGAAATTGTGAATTATGGGGTTTTGTACAAATGTATGTCATGAACACGTTAGATTGTCACACCTGCCATGTACATTTATAAATAGATAACTGGACAGCTGGATAGACTCACTAGCAGACAGACTCATAAACAGATAGACAGATGAATAAATGAATAGATTGATATATAAAGAAATAGACAGAGTGATGAGAAATACATATGTTTATAAGGATATTGATATATGAATGCATACATGCACACACACACACACACACACACACACACACACACATATATGTATATGTGTGTGTATACATATGTATATATATATATACATATATATATATATATATATATATATATATATATATATATATGTATATATATGTGTGTGTGTGTGTGTGTGTGTGTGTGTGTGTGTGTGTGTGTGTGTGTGTGTGTGTGTGTGTGTGTGTGTGTGCATGTATGCATTCATATATCAATATCCTTATACACATATGTATTTCTCATCACTCTGTCTGTTTCTTTATATATCAATCTATTCATGCAAGTGCAAACATAACATACCAAAAATCTTAGATCTAGGAAGAACCTTTTTTCAATGTTTATCAAATACTCTTTTGCCCACCCAACCAATGCTTTGTCATCACTGATCTCGAAAGAACAAACCACTTTATTCTGTTTTCTACATTATGCAAAAAATCATAGATGATAATACAATTGTAGTGAAATCACGCAAGGCAATATGCAGGCCTATCTCACCTGTGGAATGTTCTAGGTAATGTTTTTTTTTTTACGGACGTTTCCTCTTCACTACCCTCGCTATCACTTCGTACGTAGTTTTCTTCTTCAACGTTTCGTTTTCTCGTATTACAACCACAAGAAACAGATTCTATACTTTGCTTTCCCATCGTTTACACTTGATATCACTTCTCCGCAGTTATTACAATACCGCAGTGGGGCCCTCCAATATATTGTCATGTATATATATAAATTATATATATATATATATATATATATATATATATATATATATATATATATATATATATATATATGTATATATATATATATATATATATATATATATATATATATATATATATATGTGTGTGTGTGTGTGTGAGTGTGTGTGTGTGTGTGTGTGTGTGTGTGTGTGTGTGTGTGTTTTACTATCCCTTGTCCCTTCAGGTGTATTAGATACTGTGAGTTTATGGATTCACATATTACTACTCTGAATCTATTTTCCATAAGTTAAAGGAGAGGCTTCTTGTTAAATGCAGGTTTATCGATGTCGAAGTAGTATGTGGCTACATTATCTTACATAAATCGTAAGTATATCTGTCAATCCTTAACATGTCACTGGGCCCTTTTCAGGCGGCGCAATCATAATAAATGTATATTAAGTATGTGATGTAAGATATGATGAAGTAGTGTGGTAGGCGTGGCAAAAGTTCTTTATAGTAAGATACTCATCTTATGATTTGTGAAGGTTTTTAGAATTTACGTATTTTATCAGTAGCGTAGCGAGGGGGGGGGGGCAAGGGGCCCCCAATGCTCAGAAAGTTGGTCTCTGAGAAAAGTGCAAATCTGCAATAAAATTTGTAGGGGGCCCCCCTACAAATTTTATTGCACTAATGGCTTAGCTCATTATAAGCCATCTAAAAAGAGCCGTTTTCCAGCATTCTAAGGGGCGTGGTCTTAAATTTTTCCGGGGGAAGATTCCCGGACCCCCTGCTATTTTTCTTACCTGTTTGCCCCCCCAATCTTCCCGCTCT